GACTAAACCGGTCGTAAGTCGAGGACTACCCAACCGGTCGTAAGTCGAGGACTTTCCCTGCCCGGGAGCGCCGCGCATGCGTGGTTCCGCCCCCTGCGCTGGCCGAGGCGTAGCTGGCAAGCGGCAGAGACGGAGCAGGCCGACCACCAGCTGGCCCAGCCCAAGGGAGGTAAGGCACCCGCCGGAAAAGGGGAAAAAATGGCGGACAAAAAAATGGCGGACAGCCTTGCTTGGCGACCCCCGTGAAATGGTCGATCGACCCCAAATGGGGTCCCGAACCACAGGTTGAGAACCACTGCTTTAGAGGCTTGATTGGAGCAAGCATAAGAGAAAGAATGATAATTCCTTGTATTGTATCCAGGGTGTATTAATTTCCTGCTAAATGGGGAAAAAATGTGGTGATCTTTCCCTACTTCAGTGCTGCAGGAGGAGCTGGTTTCTGTTGACGATGAACTGCAAGCGTTGGAGATCCAGATTCAAGAACTTCTTGAACATCAGCAACAACTAATTCAAAAGAAGACCGTCCTGAAGAAGAAAATAACACAGTTGTCCGACACAGAAAGCGGGAGCAGCAAAGAGACTGGATCAGCAACTGAGGACTGGAACAAAGAAGGTCTTGCAAGCTCTGAATTTTTATGTTGCCATTTAAGTCAAACAGTGACCTAATCAACATTACATTCAATATTCAAAAGATGATCACTGCTATTAAAGTGCAACGGCTGTTAATTTTATGTACATCTGTTTTTCAATTAAATGGGGTGAAAGCAGCATAGTTCCTTTACTGCACGCTGTCCGTAATCATACTACATGCATAGTTCCAAATTTAAATTTGGGGAAGATTCTTCACTGCTATATTAAGCCGTCATAACATTTTGACACACAAATAACCACCAGTTGGATGCTCATTTAGTTCAAAATAAGTTGGCTGTAGTTCACTTGCTCGTAGTTGGTTTTTCAAAAAAGGGCATGCTGGCTTTTGATTCTTGTTTCTGTTGCACAATGAATATGTTGCTTGTAAAGGAGAGAAAAATGGAGGTGGAAAAGCAAGAAGTTCTACCTCTTGTTCTCTGGTTGAGGTTTTCCAGCTGAGTGGTCTCAGTACGGTATTTTCGATTTAGAAAATGGAAAACTTATAAAATTTGGTTCATTATTGCCCCTTCGCAGGAAAAGCCCTTTAACTGTCTTTCTATACTCAAAGGCACCTCAAAGTTCTTTTTAAATGTTCCTTTCACAGACTTTCCGTGGTCCACAAAGATAAGGGATGTGTTACAAAAGAGCTTTGGCCTTCAGAGTTTTAGGCCCTTGCAGCTGGAGACAATTAATGCAACAATGGCAGGCAGAGATGTATTCCTTGTCATGCCTACTGGAGGGGGAAAAAGCCTGTGTTATCAGTTGCCAGCAGAGGGTTCTCCGGGTAAGTACCTGGGCTTTGTAACTCCAGCAACTGTTGTTGGTTGAAGTCAGTAAGAAGTAATGGATTCATACTGTATAATGTTCTAACAGCCTTTCCCAACCTATAAGCTCTTCAGACAACCTAGGACAAACATAAAATATTTTCTTTCCAAATAATTAACTTCCATCTGCTGATAGGATAGGTCAGTGATGGCGAACCTTTTAGAGACCAAGTGCCCAACGCCCCCCCACCCCAGCTCTGCCTCCTGCCCTGCCTGCTCCGCCCCCGCCCGCCCCCTGCCCCGCCTGCCCACAGGGCCACGCACCGCCTTCATGGCCCACCGCAGCATATCGCCCAGGCAGCCCTGCAGCACCATGGCAGCCACGCCCTCCGCCCACACCCCACAGCATCATCTGCATGCTATGGGGTGCGAGGGCGGAGTCTTGTCCCTGCTGCCCGTCTATGTCCTTGGCTGCGCTGCTCCGTGTGGGCCGCACCTGGGGGCGACTCTCCTCCAGTGGGGCTGCTGGTGAGGGGGCTGCCAGGGGAGGCGGGGCTGGGACGACGATGTGTGTGCCCACAGAGAGGGCTCCGACTGCCGCCTCTGGCACGCGTGCCATAGGTTCGCCACCACTGGGATAAGTGTTAAGCCAGGGGTC